AGGATAAGCAGGTATATTTCACATTATTTCATGACTTTCGTACCTATTGTTAAAAAAAGAAACACACTCATACTAGAACAGAACACAAATTTTTTTATCAATATGGTTAGGATTTTGCAGAAAATGTTGATTCTTTTGTTGATGTTTTTTGTTTGCTTGTTTAAGCGCAAAGCTGCACAACGGACTACCTTCCTTGTGCCAACTACAGAGATCGAGCCCAAAATTTTAACGTTAGAAGCTCCTGGGCTTACCGTTAGCCACTGAGGGATAATTTCTAAAAATGCGATAGGCATAAGTAAAACGACCAAATGGTAGTAAAACTATGATTATTAATCCAAATATGATATATATATGTCATGAAAAAATATTGTGATGTATTATTTATTTATAGTTCTTAATAATTTGTGCTTGTAGTCACTAAAATTGTTTTCATAGCATCATGCACTGACACTGAGTTCCCTTGGCCGACCACCTTTCGTTAAGCAAAAAAAGTTATTTAAAATTGTAATAGTTATTTAAAGTTTTTAATGAGGATCCGATGGACTGAAATGATACCCTTTCAAGAAAGAAATTAAAAATCTACATGTTTTACATTGACACATTATTTCTGTTCTTTTGTCTTAAATGATCTATGTTTCCGCATTAACTCTTTAAATCACCGTCTCTTTAAAGTCAAACGTAAGCCTTTCTGGTAACTAACACTATTAAATCAAGCAAATTTATAGTTAGTTGTGATATGCCAAAGTAGGGATAATTTTTCCTCCCAATTTTAAGTAGCTCAGTTTTGTAGTTTTCACATTATTGTATTTATAGTTATTACGTAGTTTACACGCTGTGAAATAGGATAATACACTGACGGCAAAGGGATGATGAATATATTTTTAAAGATGATACTAATTGAATTCTTAATAAACTATAAGAGATAATTTCATAAAGTGATTTAACATTTTAGTTAGAGCTCTTATGACGCGATAAAAATGAATTTTCAAATAAATATCTTTAAATTTTCCATTGCCGCTTCTTAACAAATGTAGATGGCACGACCATAGCACTAAAAGGAGTAAATTGTGTATAATTGTCTCATAAAATTTCTCACTTTTTGATTAGATAAAATGAAAAATTAAGTGAAACATTCAATTTAAAGTAAACTTTTGGAATGAATGAAAAACCACATTGTATGATAATATTGCAATATTAATTGTGTGGCTTATCATATTTTTACTTTATTTTGTTAAATGACCTGGCTAAACCTTAGTAATTAGTGTTTTTATGAAGTGATAAAAATTGACCAAACCTTTTAATTTTTTTTTTCAACAAAGTTCATGAAAAAGAAAAGAAACAGGAAAGATATAGAAATTTTGTTTGATTTTTTTCGTGTGGTGTGACATTAAGTAAATCTTACTTAATCATCTACTTTAGAGTAAATTTATATAATACATTAATTAAAGAAAGGAAGTAACTGCCGCTCCAGGGTGACAGAAGTCTCAGATGCAAATTAAGTCTAAGTCGGGTAAATCTTGTATCAAATGTTTAATTTTCATTTTGTATATAGTAAGGATTTCTGTTCATGTTACGTCTTCATATACACGTATTTGATATGCTTGCATTTCGACAATATCTGACAATTATATGAAGTTGACAAGGAACCACCTTCCTGTCAATCTTCTTCGTTTTATGTCTTAAATATCTCATTTTCAGTTGTTGTTACTTGGAGCTATAAGTTTCCCCGTTTATTTATCATTTTTTTATATACAGGTTCATATTGCTTAGTTATTTTGATTCCACGATTTCAACTACGAGGTTTTAAATTTTGTCAGTTAATCCAATTATTTTTTCAATTAAAAATATGCATTACATTATTATGTTGAGCATATAGCTCAAATTTCAATACAAAGCAACCACATTTAAAGTTTTTATTAAGAATTATACTCGAATTTTTATTAACCGTTTTCTTTCGATGTAATGTACATTGTTTATAATGTTGATGTATTTCTATTTCTTGTAATCAGATATTTTTGAGTACAGCTTGATCAGTGGCGTAGTAAGAGGGGGCAGTTGCCCCCGGGCGCAGGTGTGAAGAGGCGCAAAATTTCCTCTGGCCTATAATGCCTATTAATGCCTATTAATAATTATGCCCTCCCCTAGGATATAGCGCAACTGTCCTACGTTAAGTACATACGACACAGTGTTACGTTATTGGTGTGTATTAGGCTTGCAGTTTTAACTTTTAAAAGCCACCCACTGAAATACAGTGA